GGGGGGCTCTGTTAACAAAAAGTGTTGACCAAAAAAAAAAAAAAAACGCTGCGCACAATACAATAGTCCATTTTCACTTGCGTCTTATTAGCCAATATATTCATGCGCTTGTTTCCATAGCCGCTTTCCAGTATGCACATTGGCGTGCTCTAGAGCACCTCGGGGGCGCCACGCACTAGATTTATACCGTTCCAGTATCATGGCGTGAGACGCCTGTCTTAGTGTCAAATTTTAGAAATAATTATCTGTTTGTTTGTGTAGTTTGTTTTTTTATTTATCAAAAATGAAAGAGAATCAAAACTATATATTTTAAAATGATCAATCTTGAGATATAACAAGAAATAAATAGATAAATAGCAACCCACGGATGTGACAGCTGGTAGGTTGACGCGTACGTACAGCTCGGGGGCTCAACGCCCCGAGTAGCTCCGGGCGTCACACTCCCATACTGGAAAGCGGCTCATATGTCCATATTATGTAGAAATGCCGAAATGTTTTACTAGAGTTCAACGATTATATACCTGTCCTTTCTTTTTTTATGAAGTAGTAAAGGACAAAAATAGCTCATAGGTTATTGTGACTAGTTTTATGTCAGCCATGTTTGGGAATGGTTTACTAATGAGAAATTCGGCATCCTCGCATGTTTAGGAAAGTGACGTCCCTTTCCTATCCCGCGTTTTCACAGCAGTTTAAAAATTCGATTTTCAAATCTTTTTATTTTCGAAAATTAGCGTTTTTTGGGAAGAAAGTATACTGATGGTATCAAAATGACTAACAGATTAATTTAATTAATTAATTTAAAATTTGAAAGTTGCCTATTTTTGTCAGAATTCACCAGTACCCAAATGTTGCGCGCTTAATCTTTTATTTCCTACTGAACTATCATAACCATATAATACCTTGGTTACGATAATCATAAACAGGGTCTTAAGGATATCATAACTCCCAAGGGAGTTAAGGAAACTTTGACAAAAAATAGAAATTTTGGTTTATAGTTTATTCTTTTATAAAAATGGACAAAATATAGTAAATTCAGTAGAAAATAAAATTATCTATGTACCACGGGAATTATCAGGTGTTATTACCCACGGGCAATTGGTGTCCCTCGGGCCGAAGTCCCTCGGGACACAAAATTTGCCCTGGGGTATTAACACCCTCATAATAGGCATGATGACAGATTTTGAATAACTATCCTATAATGTTCAGAAATGTATATTATTTACAATGAATAACACATTTCTGCAGATAATAATGGTTTCAGTAGAAAAAATTACATTTTAGTTTTTATATTTGAAACTCGCGCGAAAACGCTTCTCCGTGTCATGGCGTCAATAGTGACGTCACGTTTGAGTAAACGAAACCTAACGCTCATTGAAAATTTGAAAAATTTAGATATTTTGTGTATTTAAATATGAATTTCAAAATGTACAAGTGGTGTGCGGTTCCTCAGTGTGATAGCACATCAATAAAAACTATTATACAGGGTGTCCTTAGATAAACTGACACATTTTGCAGGTTAATATCTCGAAAACGGGAAAAGATAACGAGATGCGGTTTGTTCTGGGAGAATTAGGATTTTTTATAGTTTTTTTTTCACATTATTGCCGAATCCTAAAATTTGCTTAAATTTGGTTTCACAGACATGCGATTTTTTGAAATAAAATGACTGCCTTATTTTAATGAAACACCCTGTTTATTTTGTCATCGTCAGAAACCCTGATTTTTCTACTTTACAAAAATGTATAATTTTTTTCAATTATCTTGAACTTGCATAGTGAAAATTGCACTTTGTCGAAGGGGACACCATCGACTAACTAACAAAAAAATTAGAAATAATTTGTTTTTAATACTTTTATTAACTAATTAGCGCATAGTTAACTAATAATAATACAAGTATGAAACACAAATAAGTGCATATAAAACACAAATTAATTATTATAATTTTTTTGGCCAGTCGACGGTACGCTATTCAACCAAGTGCAAGGTTTACGGATCAATTTCATGATAATTGAAAAAAATTATACATTTTCGTAAAGTAGAAAAGTGACACTTTCCGACCATGTCAAAATATACCGGGTGTTTCATCAAGAATAAGGTAGTATGTAATTATTTAAAAAAATCGAATGGCTGTAAAACCAAATTTCAGGATTTGTCAATACCATGAAAAAAAAACTTTAAAAAATCCTTATTCTTCCAGAACAAACCGCATCCCGATATCTTTTCGCGTTTTCGAGATATTCACCTGTAAAATGTGTCAGTTTATCTAAGGACACCCTAGTATTTTACATTATTAGCCAGGTAAAACAGTTTTTACTGGTGATTGAAGGAAATGACTAGCGAGCCGTCAGACGAACTTGTCACCTTCAAGAGCCAGTAAAAACTGATACCTGGCGTATGATGTACAATAATTTATTTGTAACTCATTTGTAAACAATAAATAAAAAATTAATACATAGGTAATACAATTTTAATAAATAATTCTACTGACCCTACTGACTTGTAAAAAGTTTTTACAGTTTAGCTGTCAATTTTACAAGTTAGTAGAGCCAGTAACTGGAAAAATCAATTTTCGTTGTTTATGTTTTGACTTGATAAATGACGTTTTACAAATGAGTGACAAATAAAAAAATTATTTACGTTCGTTCCACAAAATGAAACGATAAGGGACAAGTGGCTTAAACTTGTAAGGCGAGATTCAACAGCAATATTGCCTAGTATTTACCTTTATTTTTATGCAAATCATTTTAACACAAGTATTTTATTTACTTCGTAGATTCTAAAATAGTATGTAGTACCTATGTATCTTGTTTGAGGTCTAAATTCAATATAAAAAGAATCTTTTTTGAGGTTAGGTTTCACCTTGCACCACCGCTTTCTTATGGAAGTTTTACCATTTCTTGATTCTTTTCTTTTCTGGTAAACAAAAGTCCTTATTTGATGGTGAAAACTCTCCCAGCATCAACACAAATTAACACTCTTTCACCTTAGTGAATCCTTGTTCAATGATTATTTCACTTTTGATTCAATATTCGGTATAAACAATACATGGTATAAGCAAAATTGAACCGCAAATAGAATCACAAGAATATCACGGGGAACCAGTCGTTAGTTTGCTGGTTTATTCAAAAGTGACGTCCTTCGTTCTGATTGGTGTTTAACATAATATGGCGGACCTCCGTATTTTATAGTTTTATTTTATCAAAATAATTATCAATCTGGCTCTTAATAAAAAAATAAATGCCTGTTTTGTATTCCATGAGTCAAGTTTCATCAAATAAAATAGTATATTGTTGTATTAGGAGTAGAAGCTTTACTTTTTTGTGCTGAAGCAGTAGGTTTGCGAGCCGAACGTAGTGAGGCTTGCAATACTGCTGAAGCACAAAAAAGTGCTTCTACTCCGTATGCAACACGCTATTTTTTCTCCAAACAAATGGGGTAAGCTCGGGGGTAACTGAATTGTTAAGCGGCAGTAAAAGTACGAGCGGCACTAAAAGTACTTTTGCTGCCGCTGGGGTTGCCAAGCAGCATAGAATAGTATATTGTTGTATTAGGAGTAGAAGCTTCACTTTTTTGTGCTGAAGCAGTAGGTTTGCGAGCCGAACGTAGTGAGGCTTGCAATACTGCTGAAGCACAAAAAAGTGCTTCTACTCCGTATGCAACACGCTATTTTTTCTCCAAACGAATGTGATAAGCTCGGGGTAACTGGATGGTTGAGCGGCAGTAAAAGTACAAGCGGCACTAAAAGTACTTTTACTGCCGCTCCAGCGGCACCAAAAGTACTTTTGCTGCCGCTGGGGTTGCCAAGCAGCATAGAAATTAAATTTCTACCACCTCGACAGGTGTTAACCTCCTGGATTTGCCTAGCAACATAGAAATTGAATTTCTACCATCTTGACAGGTGTTGACAAAGTGATGTTTTTTTGACGTTTGGAGAAAAAAGTACTTCTACTGCCGCTGCGGTTGCCTAGCAGCATAGAAATTAAATTTCTACCACCTCGACAGGTGTTAACCCGCTGGATTTGTCTAGCAGCATAGAAATTAAATTTCTGACATCTTGACAGACGTTAACAAAGTGACGTTTTTTTGACATTTGGAGAAAAATTAAATTTCTACCACCTCGACAGGTGTTAACCTGCTGGATTTGCCTACAGTGGCTAAATAAACCTTTACATACAGTGGCGACAATAGAGGTCCCGCCGCCATCTTGTTCCCAACCTCTTGTTACTTTTAAATATTAATATATAGGATTTAAATGGACATCTATCATAAAAAATTGATATCGACGTATTTGATGACCATTATTAGGTCCATAAAATACGTTGTTTTCCATGATTTATGATGGATGTTCACCTAAATCCCATATATTCCTATTCAAAAGTAACAAGAGGTTGGGAACAAGATGGCGGTGTTTTCAATATAAATATATGGGTTTTTAGAACCAATCAAAAATAAGACAGCAATTGTCGCCACTGTGGTAATAGAGTCACTGTAGATTTGCCTACCAGCATAGAAATTAAATTTCTGACATCTTGACAGAGATTAACAAAGTGGCGTTTTTTTGACGTTTGGAGAAAAACATAATTTCTGATTTTCAATTACTGTCATCATGCCTATTCCCTTGATACATAAATAACTATTATGCGGGGCGATAAAAATGTTCGTATTGGGCTACTTATTCGCTTTTTTTTTTGTAAGAGGAGACATTTCGTACACGGAGCTCCTTCTTTCCTCAGGAAGGAAAGTATTTCAGACATTCAAGATGATTAGGATGAAGCACTGATTCCCTTGCTGCATTAGGCGCCCGCCATAGAAAAACCTTATTATAGAAAAAAGAAATACATTTTATTTTTATTTTTTTTACAAAAATTGTACGTCACATAAAATGCGCTGAAAAAAAACCTTTAGACTTGCCTTGGGGGGGGGGGCTGCAGCCCGGCAGCCCTCCCCCCCTGGATACGCCTATGCAGTGAAGATTCTACAGCGCACAAATTCCGTTTCAGATCATGCCAAGAGCTCAAAACGCTCACGCAATGGTCAACGCAGGATTCCTATTAAACATCGATAATTTGGGCCGAATAAAATCAGCTCGAATCGTTTACGGAGGCATAAACCCGACATTCGTGCACGCTTCCAACACTGAAGCCTTGTTATTGAAAAACCCCTTGTTCAACGACAACGTATTGCAGCAAATTTTCCAATCGTTGGACCAAGAGCTCAAGCCCGATTGGGTTTTGCCAGATCCCAGCCCGAGTTTCAGGAAACAATTAGCAATCAATATTTTCTACAAAGTATAAAAATTATCCAAAAATAAACATAATCTTTAAGTTTGTAAATATTTTTAGTATGTCTTAAGTATTGCACCTCCACAAAAAATATCAGAAAGAAATAAAAGCGGAGCCACTTTGTTATCCAGACCAGTTTCTAGTGGAACTCAGCAAATTTACAGCAAAAAGGAATTGTATCCACTAACACAGCCCATATTGAAAGTAGAAGCTCTGGCACAAACCTCAGGTCAAGCTGAATATATACTAGACATGCCAGACTTACCGCACCAATTGCATTGTGTCTTTGTTAAAGCTCAAGCTATTCCAGGCTCAACTATCACCAACATAAATCCTATAAAAGCCTTAAATTATCCTGACGTTGTAGCATTCTATTCGGCTAAAGACATTCCTGGAATAAACAATATCGCTACAGCGAAACTAAGTATGCCAGTAGAAGAAAAACTGTTTTGCGACAATGTTGTGCAGCATTATTCTCAGCAAGTGGGTGTTATAGTAGCTAATAATCTTGAAGCAGCTGAAGCTGCAGCTAAGCTAGTCGAAATTACGACAACACCTCCAACTAAAAAGCCTCTATTCACTGTTCAAGATGTTTTAGCTGCAAATGAAACGAGCAGAATCACTCACCAGACTAGTTTTAAGCCTAAATCTAAAGGCACCGATATTAAAACCGTGATTAAAGGCAAAACTAACATTCGTGGTCAGTACCATTTTCACATGGAGAATCAAAACTGTATGGTGATACCAAGGGAAGATGGGCTCGATATTTTTGCTGGTACTCAATGGATGAATGGGATACAAGGGGCTGTATCGCAGATTCTCAATATTCCTTCGCAAAAGTAATCGATTATTATCAGGCTTCAATAATATAAGATTTATTTTTTAGGATTAGCATGTTCGTGAGACGTTTAGGTGGTGCATATGGGGCCAAACTAACCAGAAACATGTTCGCAGCGAGCGCATGTGCTTTAGTTGCCTTCAAACTCAACAGACCAGTCAAAATGTGGATGAATTTTTACGATAACATGGACATTATTGGCAAAAGATACCCACTTTATAATGAATATGAAGTTGGAGTTAATGCTAGTGGAGTTATCCAGTATCTTACTGTAAGAATCTCCCAATAGGTATTTAATTTGTTTTAATTTAATTTGAATTTCTAGGCTAATTTATATTCAGACTACGGTATCGGTGGCAACGAACCAATGTACCCTTTGCTGGTAAACCAATTTCAAAACTGCTATGTCGTGGAAACTTGGACTTTTGATACTTACACAGTGGTTACTGACAATGCTGCCCAATGCTACACTAGGGCTCCAGGTACTTTGGAAGGCCTAACCGCAATCGAAACTATTATGGACCACATTGCAAACACTCTCAAACTGGATCCGGTAGATGTGAGAAGAGCTAACCTAGATGGACCTGGTAATCCCTTGCTGGTGGACTTTTTAGATGACTTGATTAAATCTGACGATATTGTAAAGAGGAAAGCGGATATTGAACAATATAATAAGGTAAAACTGGAACTGGATCTTCCTTATTTTGAATTGATTTCTACATCTGATTATCTTATGATTCAATTACAAGTTTCTTTGTTTCACTTTCACTGTTTCTCTTTGACAAATTAAATGTTTGTCTGAGTTAATTTTTCCATAGATGATGTTGTGTGTTATTGTCATGTCTAAAACTTTAATCCTAGGCTAACAAATGGAAAAAGAAAGGAATGTCAGTAATTCCAATGAAATACGTTATGGAAATGGCCTCAAACTACACTACAGTTGTATCCATTTACAATATAGATGGTGGTGTTGCTGTAAGTCATGGTGGCATTGAAATGGGACAAGGAATCAACACAAAAGTAATCAGAATCTTTAAAAAAAATAACTTTATCTTTAATATAAATTCTAGGTGGTTCAAGTTTGCGCCTACAAATTTGGGATTTCCATGGAAAAAATATCAGTTAAACCGTCTTACAATGTTGCTTCACCTAATTCAAATATGTCCGGTGGGAGTTTGACGTCAGAAGCTGTTGTATACGTGAGTAATCATTTAAATAACTAACAATAATAATCTTGAACATTTTTTAGTCTTTATTACAAGCTTGCGATGTACTACTAGAACGCATCAAACCAATAAGAGACCAAAATCCAAAAGCAACTTGGGAGGAACTCATACAACTTTGCTACGAGAAAAATATTTGTCTTAGTGCCAACGGATTGTAAGTATTAAGCAATTTTTCAGAACCTCCTTATTAATTTTTTTTTAAGTTACTCTCAAGATGCACCTGGTATAGGATCCTATTTAATTTACGGTGTAATGGCTCTAGAAGTTGAAGTAGACATTTTGACAGGCAAACACGAAATCCTTCGTCTGGATATTTTGGAAGATGTGGGCCAAAGTATGAGCCCCTTGATTGATATAGGGCAGGTAGAAGGGGCTGTCTTAATGGGTATAGGCTATCATTCCACAGAGGAACTAATTTACAGTGCAGAAGGCCAACTTTTAAACGATCGCACTTGGAATTATAAAGTACCAGGCGCCAAAGACATCCCTCAAGATTTTAGAGTGCGATTTTCCAATAAGAGTTTGAATCCTTTGGGAGTGTTGAACTCAAAAGGTACCTAACAATTTTTTGTGTTAATGTTTTATGCATAATATTTTTTTTTGTAGCTATCGCAGAACCGCCTACCTGCCTGACTATAGCCTTGCCTTTGGCACTTAGAGCTGCAGTTGCTTCGGCTAGAAAAGAAGCTGCACCGGAAAATGCTTCTTGGTATCCTATAGGTGAGGTACTTTTTTTGGATTTTGCATGATAATTTCGAAATTTTAATTTCAGATGGGCCATCAACTGTTGAACATACTTTGCTGAGCAGCTTAAATAATTATAAACAATTTACTTTGTAGTACCAACGAATTGAGACTAACCGTGTTTCTGTTGGCTTTTAATTTAAATCTTTGTTTTTTTTAAGATTCCTGTAAGTTTTTGTAGTTATCACAGTTTCATCTGCACCAGAATCAATTTTAAAATATACCTACATCCCTATTAAAAATATTTAAATTTACCATCCAAAATTTTGAAACATGCGATATATTGACGACAATGTCATATTTGTTAGGCTTTTTCAAAGAAAATGATAAAAAAACTACAAAAAGGTGTTTATTCACAAACCCTGAGAAAAAATACAATACCTCAAGGTGTCTGTTCTGCCAAGTCCAACACATTAACGTGCCACTGCCAGAAATTCATGAAATTTCAGCACAGGAGAGAAAAATATGTTCCAGAAAAGCACATCTGCTACGACTGGCTCAGCCATAATATCAATAAAAGATGTGTCAGCAATACTAATAGAAGTAATCACATCAAGTTACCCTCAAGTCCTGAGGATTCTTATTGACCAAGAGTCACGTATATCCATTATTACCGAAGAAGCTGCAAATTGACTGGGATTGCCATGACACAGCATAAGAACACAAATCTCAGGAATTGGTGACAGCGAACCAAAAGTCTCTAAATGGTCCATTGAAGCACAGATCAAATCGCGATAAATGTCAACATGATTGTCCTTCCAAAACTCACTTAATACATGTGTTATGTATATAATATTATTATTAACCTGTTGTTAAAGGACCCCGCAATATTTAAATGGAAATTGGTTACCCGTGATTTTTGAATGAAATTTAAATATGTTATTGGGGATGTCGTAAGCATAATTTTTTACCATGGGCACAACCCTGTATATATGACAGGTGAGGCGTGGTTAGCTACTGTCAAATATTGGAATCTTATATCCGAAAGCAGAGTAACTATGATGGATTTTGATGAACCAAAAATCTGTTTCTACTAAGTCGACCAATTTAAGTCGAAAAATGTCAACCATTTTGACACCTGTCAAAATCCTGCCAAATGGCAGCACTCAACTTTTCCAGTTTTCAATATTTTATGATGTCATTTGACGTTTTTAACTTATAGGTAAATTCTGAATTCAAAAATTGAAGAAAAAAAAAATGACAGAACTGTCAAAACCTGTAATTTTTTTTTAGTAGAAAAAAATACTCAAATCTGTTTTTTTTTTATTTCAAGGTAGTTTATTGGTGATAAAACATTAAAAAAAGTTTATGCATGTCACATTTTGACAACTGTCAGAATCTGTTAATAGTTTTTTGGTTCATATTGAGTTTGTTTGCTTAGTGAAGTTCTATAACAGGCATAAAATTGATTTAGTTCTACAACGAAAGTTCGTTGTTTATATGTTAAGTTCGTTGTTTATGTGTTGTTGATATGTTGTCGATATTTGAGAATTGCTAGTGCTATAGTTGCATTTCAAGATTGGCGCCAAATGATAGTTTATGAAAAGCTTAGACAGGAATGTAAAATCCGTTTTCTTGTAAAATTAACTGTTCAGGTTTTACAGTCTGTCAAAGATGCAAAAAAGTCAGTTTTCAACTGTCAATATTTTCGAAACAGTTGAAGGTAGGTATATGACATTGTACACGAAATATGTCTAGAATTTTCCGGAGAATCCAGAAGTGTCATAATATACAGGGCGAGTCATTTGAAAAAACATAACTTTGTGTTACTACTAGTTATTGGGCCACCCTGTATACTGGAAAAAATTTAGGAATATAGTACTCATGTTTATCTACAAGTTTTGTATTTAGTTTTTTCTCCGATCTCCGTTAGTATAAGAGATATGGACCACCGCGCGCTTAGTAACTCACCCTGTATAGTGACCGTCGACTTAAAAAAAAGTTAAACTTTATAATCAATCACAGCAATCTTTCATAAAATTAGTGAATGCCATAGGTAAAGACTCAGGTTTTCAGACGTTTTAAGAAAAATCTTATTTTTCAAACTGACCACAGGAATTGACATTCTGTCTGTGCAATGTGTGTTTATTTTTGAAATGACGTCATTACAAATGAGTATAGTTTGGACTGCTTATATTGATTTCAGTGATATACGTATGGTTACCTACATAATGGTCTTACTTAAAAAAAAAAAAGTCAGGTTTTTGTTCTGAAAAATGTTCTATGGACGCCCTTGTCTTAGCTATTTTACAATAATTCAAAACTGCTTTCAATGCTGAAACTGCACAAGAAATGCTCCATTTAGCTGCCCAGCAAAATCTTTTACAACATTGAAATGTCTTGAGACATGGTGGACGAAAAATAAATATAGATGTCTTTCAGTTTCTCATATGACCTGTGGAATACCTGATATCAAAAACATTTGATACATACCAAGTGAAATTGGCACCTGCTTACGTACAAGACAAAAAAAAGAAGAGGTATTGACGGATTTGAGGCCCATCAGATTGATTAGAATCTGATTAGAGTTCAAATCTTCTCTAGACACGTACAGGCAGCTCAACATACATGTTTCGTTGCCTACCACCACGAAAACAACCAGAATATTGTTGATCGTTGATCCAATATCAGGCACTTACTGCACATGTAAAGTAGGTGCCAAAACATTGGGTGTTTGTGCACATGTTGCATCAATTTTATGGTATCTGGGACACGGAAAATATCCGGAAAACAATTTGAGGTATCCCTCAAATCAACTTTTGACTGTCATTTCGGATGCAGCCAATAGAAACCAAGAAAATTTTGAATAGCAATAGATATTTATGTCATAAGGATCAGAATGACAATCATTATGGTACTAGCCGTGAATATTATCAGGCGAGGCGTTAACCGAGTGTGATAACACGGCGTGCGCCATAATGATTGTTTATGATCCGAATTTCATACAATATTTTTTATTCCGACCTGTTAAAATGATATCATTGTGGATTTCATTTGTAAGTGTCAAAATGTTTGAGTACTTTGATGATTTCATTATAGTACTGAGTACTTATAATGATTTCATTAAAGGACTCAAAAAAATCGCCGGTACATAAAATCCTTTAAACTAAAACTACGTACTGAAAATTGACATTTCTGTTAAAATCTGAAACCTGCGTATAATTTTTTTTCATGCGTTATCACAAATAGGCCTAACTTAAATTGGAAAAGAACTAGATTTCATTCTTTTCTAAATTAAAGCTATTGAAAGATTCTGACAGCTGTCAAAATGTGACGTGCATGAACTTTGTTCAATGTTTTATCACCAATAAACTACCTTGAAACAAAAAAAAAACAGATTAGAGTATTTTTTTCTACTAAAAAAAATGACAGGTTTTGACAGTTCTGTCATTTTTTTTTCAATTTTTGAATTCAGAATTTACCTATAAGTTTAAAATGTCAAATGACATCATAAAATATTGAAAACTGGAAAAGATGAGTGCTGCCATTTGGCAGGATTTTGACAGGTGTCAAAATGGTTGACATTTTTCGACTTAACTTGGTCGACTTAGTAGAAACAGATTTTTGGTTCATCAAAATCTGTCATAGTTACTCTGCTTTTGGATATAAGAATCCAATATTTGACAGCTAACCACGCCTCACCTGTCATATATACAGGGTTGTGCCCATGGTGAAAAATGTTGCTTACGGCATCCTTAATAATATATTTAAATTTCATCCAAAAATCACGGGTAACCAATTTCCATTTAAATATTGCGTGGTCCTTTAGGATTGTTGTTCTAAAAACCTGTTATCCTAATTTTTTATAAAGTGTTGTAGCAAAACGCGCCCAAGTACTCTTTTTTGATTAGTTAGATGGTAAATGGCGAGCCGTATATTGATGGTGTTTATTTCCTTGGGCGGGTACCTTTGAAATTGTAGAGGGGGGTCTATTCGCAAATGAAAGAAACAAGCTATTAAGGTTTACCAAATTATATTTTATCATATACTTAAAACAAAGATAAAATAAAGCATATATATTTCTAAGTCTGACAGCCGGTTCTAATTTTTCCCAAATCAATTTATTTCATATCCTTTCAAACTTCGTTATTTCGGACCAGGAATGATCCATACTAAAACTCCCTACTTCTTTTATTCTTAATAATTTATACATTTATTCTTTTAAACAACACTCTCGATTCATATTCCTAATAAAACTACCATTACCTATAACTATAAATTCAAATTCTTAAAACCCCTATAGTCATTTACTGACAGCTTATGCATAACAATTATTTAAAGTCATAATCCTACTAGTCAGATTAAATAATTACTAACTCTAACTATACTTTTATTAAACCTTACAATAATTTCTAAATGATTAGCCTGTAACGGGTTTTTTCTGGGTGTTAAGCTGTGGCAAGCTTTATCAGTCAAATGATAACTTTCGGTCAATCATCCATCGGTTTTCTCGGGTGCCACCCTCGGGATTAACGTATTGGAGGGTCCACGTGCACCGGGTAGCTTGTTACAGTGGAGAAAGAAAAACCAGGAGGTCGTGCGCAGGAAAAGAATAACTCAACTGAATAACGTTCCTCACAATTAATTAAACAGGAAAGAATAACTGAAATCTAACAAAGAAACAGTGAGGGGGGGCAACGAAATATTAGAGAGCGTTTCGGTAGAACGTAGCGGATACGGTAACGCGTTACGGTAAGGTATACGGTACGAGAGCCGGTTCGGTAATCGGTGAAATACGGTACGGTTTGGTAATCGGTATGATACGGTACGGTTCGGTAATCGGTTCTATTCGGCACGATTCGGTAATCGCCTTGATACGGTACGGTTCGGTAATCGGTATTATTCGGTACGGTTCGGTAATCGCCTTTGCCCTCAGCTCGTATAAGTGAAAGCTTAAAGCGCTTGCGCCAATGAAACGGAGCGGCCTAGTACAGGTTCTAATCCTCCACATTCCCAGACGGAGAGAGTAATATCGTCGTACGAGCCTGCACGATATTCCCCTAACCCGTCGGTGCAGAAAACAATGGTGCCACTGGGAACCGATCCAGCCAGTGATCCCATTCCCCTCTCGTGGGAATGGCGAAGAAGGAGACTGT